CTGGTCGTCTGGAGAAGAGAAGGCTTGGAGGAGGATTTTATCATTGTACATGAATACTTGGAGGGAGGGTGTGAAAAAGACAGAGCCAGGCTCTTGTCAGAGGTGCTCAGTGACAGAGCAAGGGGCAGTGGGCACAAACTGAAATACAGGAGGAGCCCTCTGGACATCAAGAAACATTCTTTTACTGTGAGGGTATCTAAGCACTGGCTCAGGGTGCCCAATGAGACTGTGAGTCCCCATCCTTGGACACAGTCAAAAGCCATCTGGACATGGTCCCGTGCCACTGGCTCTGGTTGGCTGTGCTTGTCAGGGGGAAGTTGGACCAAATGACCCCCAGAGGTACCTTCCAGGCTTGGTCTGTGATTTTGTAATGCTGTATTGAGCACAACCCATTCATCAGGAAAAGTCAGGATAGAATTTTTTTCTGCTAGGGCAGTAATCAGAAGTCTTTAATGGGGGAAATGCTTTTAGAAGGGAAACTTCTATTTATAGAAAGGAAATGCAGTCTTAAGTTTATGCAGCTGCTAGCTAAAAGTTTTGAGAGATTTTTTAATGGTATATCACCTTCCAATCCAAGAAGCATATAACAAATCAGGCTATTAGGCTTCCTGTCAACCTCTAGTGCTTCAGAGAAAATGGTAACTGATAAGAGAAACATATACAGTCCTACAGTCCTATATAGCCATAGTTTAGCTTTCCTCTGCTTTTGTGCTTGCTACTGTTTTGATGCTTCACTTTGTGTACATGTAAACAAGCACTAAGGTAGGACACCAAATACATAATCTCTTTTGTGCTTCATCTCACTGCTCTGTTTATCATGATTTTAGTAATGTGGAGGAGAGAAGGGTGAGTGCAGCAAAGTCATATTTGCAAACAAAGTGTCTTGGTATGCAAGACTGATAACCTTTAAGGGCATGACATTTAAATAGAAATGTAATAATAGTGGAATATAATGAATTGGGCTTTTACCAAATACAAAACTGTATCCTAATTTGATCTAATTCACAGATGAAAAATCCACCAAAAGTTATCAATCAACAATAATACCACCAGTAGCTCCAAAATTTGGTGCAACTTGCTGCAGGATGGGAATACATGTGGGGAGCAGTATTGGTGTAGAATTCCCCCAGGTTTATATTCTTCAGTAGGCACCTGCCACCATCTACTATATGATGCCAGCTACTGAGCTCAGTGCATGATTGATCTGACACAATACAACACTCCAAAGTTTATTGTCCTTCTGTGTTGGTCACTGTCATTCTGTTCACGCTGGTACTGTTTTCCAGACTTATTTCATGCTAAGTCTACAAGTCCAAGCCTCCATCCTTTTCAAAGAGGCTCAGGTGACCTGCCCTTGTACAGATACTTCACTTACATATGTGGAGCACTCAGTATTCACCTGGGAAGCCTGGGCAAGTTTCCCCGTCGTCTGTTTGTGGGGGGAAAGAGCATATTTAAAAAATCATGCAGTACCATAAAGAAATGCAGTGTAAGAGTCAAAGTCTGGCTGGATATATTTGTGATGACTTGGTACAAGAATTGTGCTTTGTGATTGTAATGTGTGAGCAACCAGAATCAAGTGTCTTAAAAAATAAAAATACCTAAATACTTGTGAATGTAGTCACTATACAATTCATTCACAGAGAACAAGCCACCAGTTCCCCCTCTCATTCAAGGAAACGGGTAAACTTGATTTTAAGCTCTGTGTATGAGACGTCTCTGTTAAAAAGGACACTTTTGGTAATTTAATGAGCATTTATACAGTGATAGCAACTGTGAGAAAGCTGTCAGGCTGTGCACAGCAACTGTGATTTGGTCAGCATTTCCCAGAGATCCAGCACAGTTAGGGAAGACAACATGCTGGTGAGGTATACCTGAACACAGAGACTGCTGCTCCCACCTCTCTGCCATCTACCAGGTGATCAGTTACATGCTGCATTCAGACTCATAGGCCTGTGGTTTTTATATTCAAATAATTTAGATGTTTTAGTTTGTTTTCAGTCTTCAATTATAAAAAGAATAAAGCTGGTTCTGATGAAAGACCTTTAGTGAGTAGATGCTATTTCACTTAACTTAAAAGAATCAGTGTCAGCGCCAGCTAAATACTTTTCTTTACTCTTTTCTCATGAACAAAAACATAGATCTTGAGAGCTAGAGATCCAAGGTGTTCTATTTCTGCTGAACTGGGAATTATACAAACAGCAAAGTATGTCACACTGTTTTGTTTCACTCTCTTTTACTAACTCTTTGTTTTCATGTTGCTGATGTATCTTCTAGGAATATTTTTTCTTTGAAGGCAACTCTGATCGATCTTGTTAGCAGATGATTCACAAACATGCCATATATGGGCCATTTTGACTGTGCTAAACAAACAATATCGTATTAAAACTTTCAGAAAGTATTTAGACAATATTTAGAGAAGTGTTTTTTTGGCCAGAGGCCTCACTCCTCTTCTCAGAAGGCAGAGAGTCCCTTCCCCCTGCTCCCTGCAATGTTTTGACATGATGCAGAATAACCTCCAGGTTGTGGCCAAAACTAGGACAAGGACAAAGCACTGTGATGCTGTGCCTGTGTATTTCTTCCCATAAGACTATGTAGTGAGCCAGAGTGAGCCTTCACAGAGCTCTTGTGTAATGTAAGGAGTTTTCCTTACCATGAATTTGGAACTGTTACATTATTCTTGAATAGCAAAGCCATCAACAAATTATGCTGGGGGTTTATTAGGATCTCTGTTTGTGTCTTAGTCAACTCTGCATCAGAGGAGGGGAAACTGGGGATAAATTGGACTGATTGAGAGTCCAGGCTTCAACATATCCTCAAATCCAGCACATGCTAGCCAGCTGTGATGGACCATTTAAAACAGGGGCTGCCTCTTTCATTTTTGAAAGTGGTGCCTTCAGATATCAGGCTTCAGGATGGCAAGCTTTTGCCTTCTGTGTGCCAGATCAGAAGGAACTAGCAGACATAGGTTTCTTCCCTGCAGTGATACATGGCAGTGGTGTTAGAAATTGGAAATCCTGAGAGCAAAGAAAATAACTGCACTTTGAAGGTCATTTGCTTTTCCAGCCACCCTTTACCTTCCCTGCATGTGTCAGGCTATTCATGCAACATATGAACCCCTACCTTATTAAACTTATTTCCATAAGCACACTGGGTGTTTTTCTGTAGAAATATTTCAGCTAATAAAATGAAGGACATGCCATCTAAAATTAATAACCTAGCAATGGGTAAATGCAAACTCAAATCTGTACAATGGGGAACACTTTTAACAAGGGTATCAAGTGGAAGATTCAGAACAGTATGGTTTGCAGAAGCAAAGTAGATACTGCTCTGTATAAATTAAATACACCGTGGTGTGATGGTCCATTTCAAAAGCCACAATGTAGGAAAGCAAGGACCACAAATAAGTAGAGTTGTGAGGGTGTGAATTTGAAATTATCTCTGTTACACAGAAGATATTTCTGGGGAACATTGAGTTTTCAATAAACCAACCAAAACTTCACACTTCGGTTTGCCCTTTCTGTTTTTATTCTATGGGAATCTGCTTTTTCTGCCTTGCCAAGAAATTCTTGTCTTTCTCCTTAAAGGTTTGTTCTACTTCCCTCTGTCTTTTTAATGAACTTTGTAGTGGGAGAGTGCTCTGCCCTGGTACAGGAATCCTGAGAATACAGAGAAAAGTTGTGTCACTTAAAAGGGAATAGAGGAGGTTAGCTTACATCATCGGAGGCCTTGTTACTTTATATTCAAAAAGAAATGTGCTCTAATCACCTATTATTAGCCTTTCTTCAACCATGCTTCGAACTTCCAAATGTAGGAACTCACTCTCTTACAGAAGGTTGTCTCTAAGGATTTTGAGGGAAGTGATTTTTTGTGCAAGTGTTGTTTCATATAATAAATTTACAATGGCAGTGAATAGATACAAGATGGTTAAACAACAGAATAAATCCCCTCCTCCATTTTATGAATACTTAATTTCTGCTTACTTTCTCCAAAGTGTAACGTGCCAGGACAAATCCTGAAATCTGTCTCACTCAAGTTTGTTGTGGACAAAATACTAGTTGAAGTTATTGAGAGCATGACTCAAGGGAAAACTTAAAATCTGGGAATTGTAGTGCATACCCCTTAAAACAAACAAGGAGTTTCAGACAGGGAAATAGGAACTTCTCAAAAACTTCTAATATCCCACTCTAAGCAGAAACTTCTGAAATTTGAGTACTTGAGTCTCATAGAAGGAAAACTCAACACAGCTCATGGAATATCTCAGTGTCAAGAGTACAATGCATTGCAGAATTTAGTCTCCCAACTTTTATTTTCGAAACTGTACAAATAGAGTTTAGCTCTTACTATAAAAATGTTTGAGTTTGCCACATTCAATACATAAAGCCAAAAAATGAGGCTGACAATTTTCTGTCACTTTTTCTACTTTTGAGCATGTCCGTGGGACCTCAGTTTTAAGTTAAAGATGTAAGGCTTAAGGAAAATTTGCATTTGGAAGAAACAATTTTTTGGCAATTTTCTGGCCCATTATTTCAAATGACTGGCCTATTGAAATTCTGACCACCAAGTCTATAAAAATATAAAAAATATAAGGAAAATATTATGCTTGTTACTTCTTCATTGGAGAAAATTTTGAGATGACAATTTCTTTTTTGGTTGAAAATGAAAGTAATGTACAATATACCTGAAGTTTTAAGACTAAAAATGTATTTCGGTTTTATAAGGACATGTGGATGTCTCAGAATGAATTCTACTAGGCCAGAAAGACTGAACTAATTTTAGTTATATTGTGTGAAGAGGTTGCCTGAAAGAACTTTTTCCCCCAAGCTTTCAGAAACTTTAGTGTATTTCAGAGCTCCTGAAGTAAATTTAAATGCAGGCTTTTAGATGACTTTCCACCTCAGAGATCTTCCACTATGACAAGAAACTAATTTCAGGAAAATTTTCTCTTTCTAATAAAGATTATTTTTTTTCCTCTTTCCAACTTCCCATTTCCTGTCAAGTCTGAAGTGTCTTGGATCCCCAACAAACACTACTCTGGGATTTACGGGCTGATGAAGTTGGTTCTGACTAAGACTCTACCTTCCAATCTTGAGCGAGTCATTGTCCTCGACACAGACATTACATTTGCCACTGACATTGCTGAGCTATGGGCCGTCTTTCACAAGTTCAAAGGTATTTTAATGATTTTTTTACTGTCCTTATTTGAGGGGTGGGGGGAGAATGATGAGGCAAGCAATACAGTGTGGGTGAAAGGGCTAGCTGAGGTTAAATATTTTCACTCTTTCAGTTTTTGGTGCTTGAATATAATTGCTCTCTTTGTGAGCTCTTTTCTCAATGATGTTCTGTATAGATTAATTGACAACACCAATATCTGTGTAGTTTGGTTTATTGGTCTGATTATTTGGAGCAGGTGAGAGCCTGACAATACAGTATATGATAAAGAATTATGGGCATGCTGTAGTTATGTACTGTTCAATACCTCTTGGAAGAACTTGGGTTTTATTATTTTTTTAATTAATAAAACTTAATTATTACTTTCAATTTAACTGTTCCATTTAACCACTGAGAATGAATAAAGTTGGGATCATTCTTGAACCAGGGAGGAAAAAGAAGGGAGCAGAGTTACACATGTGAATAGAAATCAGTTGCTGTTTGGTCCTCTTAATAAGTTGATAAAGGGGTCTGGATTCTAAGCACCTAAAATAGTCTTCCCTACCTATTGCCACTTCCCACAGCTCCTTGAAAATGTATTTCATAGTCAGTCTAAGAAAGGACACTTTTAGAGTAACTCTATAAGGAGATGATTACAAAAAAGTTCCCCTACTACCCTGTCACAAAGCAGAGCACTTTGTAGCTAGCACACTGCTAAAACAATTTCATTCTCCCAGGTTCCAGTGTTGCCAGCTGTTCAGAGTCAGAGACATACCCTATTGTTCTCCTCTTGCTCTCAGCATATTTATTGCTGTGCTGGTAAGTGCAGAGACGTTCCAGCATCCTGATTTAAGGGTTTACAACCCTACAAAAGTGTAGCCTTGATGTGTTTCATCAGCTCTCTCAAAATCATCTCAATCAAAGTCAGCCTAAGCAAATGGGAGTATTTGTTTAGAGAAGCCAAAATACGCCACTCCATTAGGAGGGAGCCAGGAAAGAACATGTTTACTGTATTTATCCCCTGCTGAAATCCACAAGGCTTTTCTCAGTGCCCAGCTCCAGGGCAAGACCTATTATCTTCAGCTCTGCGTCAAGGACTGCATTCTAGTGCTTCTTCGTGCATTTGTTTCCATTCCCTTCTGTGGATACACTGATGTCTTTTCAGCAAGCCAGAAGCAGTCACCTTTTTGCTTAATTTAATTATTCGCAAGCTTGTTTCATTAAGGAATATACAATTTTTCCTCCTCTTCAGGTATTGTTCAGACCTCTTCATGCAGCCTTTCCCTCCACTGAACCTTGAGTTTCATGTAAACAAACATACACCCTGACAACCATAAGTAACATAAATGTATGCATAGGAAGTAAAGCTGTGCTATTGTACTGTCTCACTGTGTGCAGCTGTCCCATTAATAACGATATTTGACTGACTATGGTGTAATAGTGTGTCATAGCAGGAAAAGAAATGTGGATAAACACAACTTGGGCATAGAGGACCGCATGGTCAAAGAGAGCAAAATCTGAATTGAGACAATGAGGAGGATTGTCTCCTTGTTTATAATTTCTGTCATATTTTAATGAAGATCCCTTGCTTTTTTACGGGGGTATAAAACCAAGCATAAAGACTGCTTGTAAAAAGAGGAACATGGAGCAGAGGCAGATGTAAGATGGAAACAAAATACAGGCAGAAAATATGGAAATATGGAGAAGAATAATTAATGGAAGTAAAACGTGTGTGCAAATCAATCTCCATAGGGCTAGGCAAGAATGTTTGTCTGATTAGAGCTGTGAAAAGCTCTAACTTACACATGGAGACAGAATTCCTGTACTGCTGTCCTCATAACATACATAGTACAACTCCCAAATGGATGATTTTCTAAGTTGTTATGTGTGTCTTTTTAATTCCAGCTGACCACCTGCTTCTCCACAGTTTTTTAATCCTGGCAATAAATTGGTCAGTGTCTACATCTGCTCATCTCCCAGGCAGTTGTGCACAAACAATGAGTAGATGAGACAATGCCATAGCTCCAGGTGTTGAGCTGGGGTGGGAGAAGATTTTGGATCCTAAATGCTCTGGAGGAGAGAGGAAGTGTCCAAGCACAGGCTTGTTCTCCAGCCCATCACAGGCTGCAGTTCCATTAGCAAAGGTGACCTCAATGATGGTGACATCAGAGTTGAGTGTTTAAGGGTAAGAATCAGAGGGAAAGCCAACAAAGCAAATACCATGGTGAGAGTCTATTGTCGGCCACAGGATGAGGAGGCAGAAGAACTATTCTGTAAGTAGCTGGGAAGTCTCACAGTTGCTAGCCCTTGTTCTTGTGCTGGGCTTGAACTTACCAGAGAGGTAAGTTGAACTTACTTAGCAGAGGTTTGCTGAAAATACAACACAGGGGAGAGGAAACAGTCCAGGATGTTCCTGGAGTGTGTGGAAGATTATTTCCTGACCCAGCTGGTGAGGGAGCCAGCCGGGGGCAGTGCCTGGCTGAATCTGTCAGCAAATCTTGCTAAACAGGGAGGTCCCAGTGGACTGGAGGTGAATAAATGTGATGCCCATTTACAGGAAGGGCCTGAAAGAGCATCTGTGGAATTGCAGGCCTGTTGGCCTGACCTTGGGGCCAGGGAAGATCATGGAGCAGGTCACCTTGAGTGCTGTCCTGCAGCATGTGCAGGACAACCAGGCCTGTCAGTGTGGGTTTGTGAAAGGCAGGTCCTGCTTGACCCACCTGATCTCCTTCAGTGATAAAGGTGGCTCTCCTTAGTGGATGAGGGAAAGGCTGTGCATGTTGTCTACCTAAACTTCAGTAAAGCCTTTAACATAGTTTCCCACAGCATTCTCACAGAAACTGGCTTCCCATGGCTTAGATGTGTTCTCTGGATAAAAAACTGGCTGGATGGCTGGGGCAAGAGAGTGATGGTGAATGGAACTAAATACATTTGTAAGCCAGTCACTGATGGTGTCTCCCAATGCCCAATATTGGGGCCAGTTTGATTTAATATCATTGTCAATAATCTGGACAAGGGGATCGGGTCAACACCAAGTTGAGTGGGAGTGTTGATATGTTGGAGGGCAGGAAGTCTCTGGACAGGAAGGATCTGAACAGGCTGAATCAATAGGCTAAGGTCAGTTCTGTGAGTTTCAACAAGGCAAAGTGCCACGTCCTGCACTTGGGTCACAACAACGCTATGCAGCACTACAGGTTTGGGGCCAAATGGCTGGAAAACTGTCCAGTGGGAAAGGATCTGTGGGTGCTGGTCAGCAGTAGCTGAACATGAGCCAGTGTGGGCCCAGGTGGCCAAGAAAGCCAATGGCATCCTGGCCTGTATCAGCAATGGCGTGGCCAGCAGGACCCAGGCAGGGATTGTCCCTCTGTTCTCAGCACTGGTGAGGCCACACATCAAGTCCCATGTTCATCTCTGGGCCTCTCACTGCAAGAATGACATTGAGGTGCTGGAGCATGTTCAGAGAAAGGCAGCAGAAAATTTCTTAACAGAAAGGCTTGACGAGCATTGGAACACACTGCCCAGGAAGTTGTCACCATCCCTGGCTGCATTTAAAAGCTGTGTAGATGTGGCACATAGGGACAAGGTTTAATGGGGTGGACTTGGTAGTGTTACTTTGGTGGTAGGATGTAAAGGTCTTTCTCAACCTAAATGATTGTATTGTTCTATCATTCAATGGAAATGGAAGGAAGGACAAGTAATATGGAGAGATACTGATACTCTTTTACTGCTTTGTAGAAGTTTGGCTTAGTTCTGTGGTGATTCTCAATTTTTCCTAAGTGTCTTTTTATTTCTCCTGCCTGCATTACAAAAGACTAAAAGATTGTCTCATGTCATGAGCCCCAAATATTCCTCCAAAGGACATTTTACTAAAGTAATGTTTTCATCTCTTCCTTGTTTCTCTCCCAGATGTCCCGGGTAAGTTTGTGAGGATTTCTTGGGGGCAATCTAGAATGTTTGTTAAAATAATGCATAAACAGAAGTACAATAAAACTCCTATGAAGGGAAATGCTAGTCTCCAAAGGAACCTGTTGTTACACCCAGCCCCAGTTAGGAGGGCAGCTTTAGACCCACTGGGTCTCCTTCTAGAAATGTTCTAACAACCAGTTGCTGGCTAGAAGGCACCATTATAAACTTGCCTATGCCAGGATGCTTTTTGTGCAAATTAAACAATTTTTCACATCAGTGCAGGAAAGGCAAGAACTTCTGTCTCCAGGTTTCTGCAACATAACTGATGAGGCAGTCCAGCACAGCCTTTCCCAAATTGCAGCCACACATAGAGTGAAGGTGCTAGAGTCTGTGATTCTTTCTGTGCCTGGGAAGACTTTTCTTCCCAGCAAACACACTGATAAAGGGAGACCAGTAGCTCAGATTCCTTTTTTCTCAGACACCATGCTTGGAAGAAACATTCAGGACTGTCTTGTAATTTAACCAGGTCTGATTTGCTGTGTAGAAGGGCCTACAGTATGTTTTAAACAGCACCTGCAATACCCAAAGTCCTTGTTCTGCAAAGGTTCTTATTCCAGTTATCTTAAGAGTTGCTGAAAAGATCAGACCCTTACATAGTAATTTAATATTTCAGGTGGTAAAGGTTCTCAATTCACTCTGTAGATGGAAAAAAGGCAGTAGGATTTCTTTGTAAATTATTGCTCTTCTGCCCTTTCCTGATAAGCTCTTTGCATATGCCCTTACAATAAGTGATCCAACTGTTCTGTAGCAGAGTGTAGAAATTTAAAAATCCCGTCTTTGAAGCAGCAACCTTAGGCTTTGGGAGAAATTCACACCTCTCTTTGGTAGCCTGAAACAGTGTCTCAACCAATATACCATTAACAGTTTCTCTTAGGAGCCAGTGGTGGGGTTGTATAATTAATAATTGTTTTATATACAAACTTCAATCTCTATGCATAAATATGTCTTTGGGAACCCGTAACTTAAATTTCAAGAGTCATATTCAGCTTTTCAGCTGGGATTGGGGCATTTCTGCTTTAGCCTAATTCTCCATTGCTCTTATAGATAGGTAGAAT